TTTCCGTGCTAATGAACTAGGAAAATTTCCTTACCTGCATAAAGTACAAGTTCGAATTGAGAACATTTCAGGTTGCACATGTGGCTGAGGCAAAGAACTAGTTTGCTGCTACCGAGAGGAATAACTTCCTCCTATCTGCCTTCGTGCCTTCCCTTCCTCTGCATCCAGTGTGGTCCAATACCCATCCTGTATCAGGTGTGGCAACCTGGACCCCTTTGCTGAGCCTACATAAGTCGTTACAGCCAAGGAAAGGAAGGAGAGGCTCAGGATGGCTCCAATTCAGCAGCACTGGGGTGTTACTAGGAGGATTATCTCATCTTGTGCTTAAAACTATATCCTAATTTCTAACCTGCTGAAGCTGGGCAATTTAACTAGGTTGTCCTGTCCTGCCTTCATCCAAAATGCATGCTAAGTCTGTTGCAGGTCTCTGCGTGATTCCGCTGAATTTTGGGTATAGGCAGCAGAGATCAACCTAACCATTGTTATAGTGTGTGATCTGGAAATCTGGTATCTTTTCACGGTCAAGAGGAGTTGTGACTGTCATTCTCACTCTGGATTCCTTACATTAAGTGATGTTACTTTGCATAAGAGTACATACGCATTATTATTCTCAGAGAGCTGCTAAGCAGTTAAAAGCTGAGCAGATGTGCAGAAGAGGCCTCTACAGGAATCGTGTGTGGATTCTTGCTGTCTGTCAGTACTTGGTGGTGCAGCAGATGAGGTGACAATGTGGGAAAACCTGCATCTCTGAACTGACAGCCTTCCTCACTACTCTGCTTAATTTTATAGTCATATTGGTCGGCTTATTGAAACAAGAATAGTAAACATTTGATCTGCCCAAAATATCTGCATAAAATGGGATGGCCTTCTCCCCCTTGCAGCCTCAGCTCCAAGGTAAACCTTTCCTGCATAGACATTCCTGGAGGAAGCTCACACTCCCGGTGCAGAGTTGTCAGAGCTCACTAGCAAGTCTCGTAACCCTAGAACACATTTAGGTAGGTGTGGGAGCTCTTCGCAGGTGTTCATGTCTCTCCATTACATTTAAAGGAGTTGTAGTGTAGACTAGATGCCTAACTCTCAGTAGCTCGTATCTGGGGAGACAAGTCTCCACTAAAGTGCATTTTCCTAAAATACAAGTGCACTGTTTAACTCTGCTCGCTGTCTTGAAAATCTTATAAATTACACTTGTTTCTCTCTTGGGCACAAATTGATGGATTAAACAACTTTCAGATTTTTATCACAGTCTATCAATGTGCTAGTATTATCCATTGCAAAATTGTTGGGTATATGTAATGAATTGCTGAGTGAAGTGCAAAACCTATTTGAAAAATTTCTTACCATTTATTTTGGTACAATTTGATGAAACATTGTTATGGCAATATAGAAAGTATTCTTAAGTAGCAAAATTAAAAGGCACCATGCTTGTAAATGCACTTGAAAGCATATCATTGCACATATAAAATCAAAGTGGAAACACACTGAAGTTTTGTTCTTGATCTTGTTCAGAACAGTTCGGAAGTTGATATGACAGAGCTTTTTATTCTGCAAAAGCTTTTTGGTTGGGGAAAAAATAAACTTCAACATAAAACCTGTGGTTCCCATTTTATTCTAGTTAATCGTATACTTTCAAACCCTCTTTTTCTAAAAAAGCCTTCAGTGTCCTCAGAGTGAACCTAAAGTAATAATTTATTTGTATAATCAATTCACACGTACCTGCAGATAAAAATTGTCCAGAAGGTTGTGAGAGTGATGGGGAGTGAGAGTGATGGGGAATACAGTGCAGTTTACTGTATAATCAGTGAAGACTGCTATTAGGAACATGACGTGTCAAGCCATTAAGAGCCACATGGCCACATTTATGAGGAAGTTATCAGGGTTAGCAGTTACTGTAAAAATTGGAGGTAATTGGTCCAGCCGTAAATACTGATTCTGAAATTGCAGACAGAGCTGGCTGTGCAAAGCAAATCTCCTGCTTATGTGTTTCCAAATGAATGTAAGAGAAAATACAGCTTTTACTCTCTCCAGCTGTGTCTGTTCCTGTCATTGTAGATGAGTGTAAGGCAAATAAGAATAATTTCCTATCAAAGAATTGCTCCAAATCCTCTATTTAGACCTACTGCAGTGTGATTATCACTTTTGGGGTCCAAACTGGATTCTTTGCATCATCTTCCTGAGTTTTTTTGCATGATTATATCCTGCTTCAAAGTATTTGTTACTTTAAAACCAGCCTAATTCTACCTTACCTTATGCACTTGATTGAAGCAGCAAACAAAGCTCTCTGTCAGCCGGAAGAGAAGAGCACTTCCACAAAGCAGTCAGTGTCATAGATGGACTTGTCTGTTTAGAGAGATGCCTGTCTTGCTCCACTGACTGTAGAGGAAATCAAGGGAAATTGGGTACTAACTGGACAGCACAGTTCCAGATACTAGGTCGGTATCTAGACATTAGATTTTGGTATAACCATCTGGTATCTTCAGATTTTCTGGAAGGAAGGGCTGGGAAAAAAAAAAAAGAGCCATTTTCCACCTGAAGTGCTGGGCAGGCAACCTACTAACAGACTTGTAAGAGGATTTTGCCTTTCTTCTCTTTGGTCTCCGAATTAGGGGACTTGTTGAGTGTGTAACACCCTTCCCTTTTTCTTGTAACACCAAAGTTAAATGAAACTGGCTACTTCCCACCATTCAGGGTCGAAAAGTAGGAAAAGAAAGTGCTCCTGAAGATCAGAGTTTCAAGGTGGCATCTAGACAATAATTGTAACTGTAGTGGATCCAGCTATGCAAACATTCACTGGAAAAACTGAAAATCTTAAGCACAGGCACTTAATAAGGGTAACATCTTTGGAAACTGCAGCTTCTAGTAATCCTTAAGAAAAACACTGGTAGCACTCAAGACCAGCAATCAGGGAAAATGAGCATGGCTTTCAACTGCAATTTGGACACAACTGCTAGGTCACCATGGATAAGTTATTTCATTCCCACACTTTGGTTTCTCTATCTGGACTCTGACTATGCAGTGTTGGTAATGAGGAGTGACATTTAGGCTTTTGTTTTACTAGTTTCACGCAGATCCATAATGATTTGGGTAGTTCCTTTTTACGTAATATGAAAGTAGGCAGAAATTATAAATACTATCCCACAGGCATAGGTTTACTGGACTTCTGGTAAAGACGTGATCATTTTTGTTGATAAACATACAGTGTGGTGTCTTTTTATACCAATTATACCAATACTTCTCTAGGAAGCTCCTCTTCTGTACCTATACAGTAATTATATGTTCTTCTCATTTTTGTGCAGGATTTTGATGACTTATCAGAAACAGACATAAGCAGTGAGGATCAGCATCATAAAATCAAGCCTGACCTTATGGAAGAGGAGCTTAAATCCAGGTTATTTCAGCTTGCTGCTAACATGAGTGACAAGGAAACCTCTTCTGGTGACGAACAAGAATCAGACCCTAAAACAGATCCTGAAAACCAGAAGGAGAGTTTGTCCTCAGATGAAAATGGCAAAAGTATTCATGAGGAGTTAAAGAAGGTAAGCAGTCATTAAAGAGGAGTGTGGTCAGCATTGTAAAAAGCTAGAATCCAGAAAGAGGAAGTTTTGACCGGAAAATACAACAAGGTCCCTTACACTGGGAGTGGGGCTTGCACAAGTAAAACTTCAATTAATCTATGTCCTCCTTTCTCTGAGACTCCAGAACCACCTCAAAAGCAATGAATTTAGCTTGTGCGGCCACCTATTAAGTGGTCTTCATTGTGAAAAGACTCTTTCTTATGTTTCGATGGAATTTCTTGTATTTCATGTATTTCAGTTTGTGCACTATGCTTCTTATCCTTTCACTGGGCACCACGGAGAAGACTTCATCTCTGTCCTCTTTACTCTTCTCCACATCACGTATTTATATAAACTGAAAAGATCCCCCCCAAGCCTTCTTCTCTCTAGTCTAAACAGTCCTAGCACTCTCAATCTCTCATCAGGAGATAGACATTCCACTTTATTAATCATCACTGTGTCCTTTTGCTGGACTGGATTTGGTATATTCATATCTTCCTTGTACTAGTCCTACCATAACTAGGCAGAGTACTTCAGATGTGGTCTCACCAGTGTAGAATAAAGAAGAAGGGTCCCCTCCCTTGACCTGTTAGCAGTGCTCTTCCTAATACAGCCCAGGAGGCTGTTGGCCTTCTTAGCCATAAGGGCTCATTGCTGGTCATGTCGATCTTTTTGACCAGCAAAACCACCAAGGCCTTTTCTGCCAAGCTGTTTTGTGTAGGGTATTTCTGCCCAGGTGCAGGACTTTACACTTACCTTTTTTGAACTTAATATGTTGTCTGTTGGCATATTGTTCCAGCCTGCTGAGGGCCCTCTAAATAGCAGACCCATTTGGTGTATCAGCCACTCCTGCCAGCTATGTGCTGTTGGCAAACTTGGTGAGGGTACACTCCTGTCAAATCATTAATGAATATGTTAAACAGTATATATCACAGTATTGAGCCCTAGGTGACACTACTAGTGAATGGTGTCCAGCTGCATTTTGTGCTGCTGATCACAACCCATTGAGATCAGCAGGTGACACAGTTTTCAGTTTACCTCACTGTCCACTATCTAGTCAATAATTCCTCAATTTGTCAGACATCAGACATCCTTATATACATCTCCTTCTAATTCCCATGACCTTTCAAAGGTAATCTAGAATATCCTTGCAATGATACCAGACAGTCCCTCAGCACTCATGGGTGCATCCCATTAGATCCCATGGACTCACACATGTCTACTTTGTTTAAATATTCCCTAACCTGATCCTCCACTACTGAAGATCAGTCTTTATGGCCACAGGCTTTCCCCAATTGTCTCAAAGGCTTGGAATTCCCAAGGGCAGATCTTGCCACTAAACTGAGGTAAAGAAGACATTGAGTACCTTCTCCTTTCCTCTGTCCTGTGTTACACTTGCCCCATTCAGCAGTGGACCCATAGTTTCCCTCATCTTCCTTTTGCTGATGATACACCTGGGGAAACACTTCTTGTTGCCTTTCACTTCCCATATCAGATTCCACTGTGGTTAGCTTTGGCTTTCCTGACCCTGTTCCTGCACATTTAAACAGCGTCTCTGTAGACCTGGATCACCTGATCCTGTTTCCACGTTCTGGTATAGTAATTCTCTATATATTCTTTTGAATAAAATAATTTTCAAATGATGAAGATAGATGTCCTATTAGAGTGTTGTCCACACTCCTTATCAAAGCAGATCTGCTTTGCAGTCAAGACTCCAAGAGGTGAATCAAGACATACAGCAGACAAGAACAAGCCTAAATGGATTGGAAGGATAAAGATGCTTGGAAGCAAGGGGCAGCATTAGGCTTCTTGTTTGTGCATTTTGCATTAGACATCACAGACTGAAACAAAATAGTCCTAGAAACAAGGACCCAAACTAAATTGACTTTGCTGCTCAACATACATGTCCCATTTTCTACAGGAAGGATGGAGAGCACCCTCACTTTAAGACGGTCTGAGGACATGGCTTCAAACCATCTGCTCTTAGAGATGTCCTCAAACCTGCCCTCCCACTGCTCATATGTATTCTTACCTCCAGATGCTTAGAATTAAGTAGCTGTTGTTTTGTCCTTTTCTTACATTTCCAACTGATTCACCTTTCAGTGAATTAAGATTATAGATACTTGGCTTAAATCTACTTGATGAAATTGCACGATTATGTCATCGATGGGAAAGAAAAGAAAAAAAAAAAAGAAGCTTAAATAAGCAGATCATCTCTCCTTCCACCAAAAGGTGTCTGGAAACTCATGCCTCTCTCTGGTGACAACATTAGGACTGAGTGGTTATCTTAGGTAGATAAGATTTTCCTGTCCTACAGCCATGCCTCCAGACCTTGGATAAGTGCCTGAGAAAGGTGCCATGAATAGATTGACCAGAATCCAGTCAGAATCATGTTCTCAAAGGAATTGTGCCAACCTTAAGCATTCTATGATTCTATGTGAAAATCAGAATTATTCCCCACCCCTTGGGGAAATCTGTAGTTTGTGTTGTACTTATTCATTTTCATGAGTTTACAAAGTAATATTGATAGCTTGCTTAAAAATATAAAATGCATATCCTGTTCAAAAAAAAAAAAAAGTGAATGCCCAGAATTCTTAATTCTTTATTGTTCTTGATTGAAAAGAGAGTCTTAGTCATTCATGGCTGCAGTATGCATTCTTTCTGTCTGTATTAAAGAAAGCAATATCCCAGTGATATTCATGATCATGCTTCAGAGGCATTGATAGTGGAACTATCTCAAGCTATAGAGAAACAAGCAGGCTGCTTTTGTTCTTATTCTCAGCAGTTGCTCTTTAAGGTGATCTAAAATCTTCTGACTTGTGCCTCAGAAGACTTGCGTCTTCTGACTCCTCTGTGGCTGACCAACCTCTTAAGATGAAACACTGAAGATAAGAATGTATGTTGCCACTTATGGCTTTCAATATGGCTTTCAATAATCTAAAATATGAAGATCTAAACTCACAAAACATATGCAATAACTTTAAAATGAGTAAATGAAATGTCTCAATGGGTGTAATTACAGAAAATGTTATTTTCAGGAAATTAGTAGATTCAAATGCCTTAAAAGGTGGATGTCTCGATTTGGTTCCTCTTTAAGATGTCTGATTTTTTGAAGAGTACCCATTAAGGAATTACTGATCTTTCATATTAGCACTTAACATTGTCAGACAGAGACCCAGAGTTCTGATCTGGGCATCAAGTTTCAACTGAGTCAAACTTCACACAAATACTAATTCTGGGTAATCAAAATGAGACTTCAGGTGCCTACAATCTGCTTTGAGCTTCTGAAAGTAGATCAGTAGATCCTGAGAGTATTTTAGCCATCCTTACTTTAACAGTGGCCTCTTTCGGAAACTTTATTTCACAAAGAAAAGTCAGAAGGGTATGTATGCTAAAAAAAAAAAAAAAACGCAGTATTTTTAACCCCAGGTTCCCAGAAAGGGAAAAAAAAAATCAGGTGATTATATGTGCTTGGAAAGGGGCATTAGCTCTTTTAAGACATGTGTCCAGTGCACGACATGGCGCATCCCGATTCTTCAGTGGGGAATTAGCTCAAGCAGAGCCTTCATGAATTCTTGGTTCTTTCTCTGCCCCAGTTGAGCTTTATAGTTTTATGCCTCTCCTTAAGATGCAAGTTTGAAAATGCTGATCTTTGAAATTATTTTGTGAGGGATAATGAGTATTTAGGTGGGCGTTAACTAACACAGGCTAGTTTTGTGTCATTGCCTTAAATATCCTGAGGACTTAAGTCATTTTCAGCATTTTTAAGTTCATTGTCACCTGAAAGGGTGTTATGGAGGTTCTCAGCTCTCTGAAATTCATGTCAGCTTCCACGGTTTTTATAGATAGCCTTCTGTGATTGTTAAGCTACAGAAGTATCTCATGGTCTTTCAGGGATGTGCAGGCTCCCTGAGAAGCCTGCCTGAGTCTGCTGTGCCATGAAGGGCCACAGAGAACTGTGGGCTCAGGCTGGAGTTACTATGGGACCCTTGAGGTTTCTGGTGTCAGCAAACCAACTTTTGTGTTTGTGAAATGAAATGTGAAATGAAAGATTACTTTTAGCAGTAGTCTGCACAGTTCTTATGCCCTACATTTCTTTCCCCTAAAAGCCTAACCAAATACTTAAATAAAAAAAGAAAAATGTAAATCCTTTTGGATTTATTGGATATTCATTGGGTATTAATGATATTAAGAGTGCCAGATATGTTGATTGGGATATATTTAGCTCTAGCTGTCTTTCCACAATGTCTCTTTCATGAACATGAATAGGATAGGATTATATTTCATACTAGACCCCAGAATTACTTTCTAGAATGCAATTTCAGTAGCATCTAAGTAAATTTGGCAGTTAGTGCAGACTTTCTCTGTGAACACTTTATCATAAATTATGTTATAGAGATATTATTATTTGCAAAAATGAAAGGGGGCTAGTCTTTTTTTCATTGACTCATGTACATTGAAAATTGAAGTAATTGTTAAAGCTTTACCTGCATTTTTGTTTTTGCTTCTATCTTTTACATTTTTGCCTCTATTCAGAAATCTCCAACACAGTCTTAGTTACATAATTTCTAAATCCTGCAGTTTTCTGTCAGTCTTTTTACATGAATTTCTGAATATTTCTGAGCTGTAAATAAGTTTGTGGGGTAGCACAATGTTCCCTGCATTGTTCCCTCCATGAAACGTACAGGTCCTCGGTATTATGACTAACAGCATAAACATTGTTTCTATAAAACATTCATGCCTTCATTTTCTGGAAATATTTTAGTCTCCCTAGATTTTGTAAAGCTTTGTTTGGGGGCAAGTGGGAAGTACCAGTATCATCATCATGTGTATTTATCTATGCCAGACACCTGTATTCTTTATTTTGAGAGAGTACATCTTACAGTGTAGTCACTACAAGCTTCTCTGTTTTTTACCAGCTAAAGCTGCGCTTCTTGGCTACCAGTATGATGAGACTGAAATGTGTTAGAAAATCTAGCTAC